GCAGGTGGAGGTAGCCAATCAGAAGTAAGCAGAAGTCTTTGGGAGGGAATCTTCGGAAGTCTCTAAAAGGAGCTGAATCACCCAGTGGTGCTTTTCTCCCCAACACTTGCTTTTTCCACTTGCTTTTTCTCCTGTAAAGTCATTGGTGGCCGAGGGTCCTGCAGCCTCTCAGTGCTCTTGAGGCTTAAAGCTACCTGCTAAGGGAGGCAGAGCAGAAAGACAGTAGGAGTCTCATCCCTTATCACATTAAGAAACCCCTTTTCCAGCCTTGGACTACATACTTCAGAGTTCTATTTTGAGAATAAATACATTACCTGTTTAAGTCACTGCTGTTTCTGGCTTATGTCTCCTGCAGCTGAATACAGTCTCTGCCTCTAGAATTCTTGCTCTGTGAGATAATAAATGTCTTTCATGGTAAACTGTACTCCTGTTCATCCATCTCTGGTTCCTCCCCTACAAGAAGAGTATAGTTTTCTGCTCTACTTAACTCAAATGTGTCTATATGATTAGCTCTGGCCCATGACAAGGTGAGCAGAAATGAAGTATTGTCCTTTTCTGGCAGAGGCTAGAAGAGCCAATGTGTGTCCCACTTAGTTCTCCTTTTCCGTCTGTCATGATAACCAGAAACATTCCCAAGAGTGGCTTCCCTGCCAGCGCGGGTCCCATCATAGCTCCTGGCTGACTCATGATGGCCATGTAGTCAGAATGAGGCACAAATCTTTGTTGTAAGCCACTGAGATTTTTGAGATCGTGACTGTCGCTTTTAAGCAAAAAATGGTCTGGCTTGATATAGAGAATTAGACTGGCAAGCTCTTTGGGAAAGACAGTGGCGTGGGCTCTAGGCTGAGACTCCGTAGATGATTTCCAGAACACGAGCAGACCAACCCGCCCGGGTAGCTTCTCCCTCCACCCCGATTAGGATGCCTCATTGCACACAGCACCTTCAGAATCTCATTGCTCTATCTGAGATCTAGGGATCAGGAAATCATCACCACCCAGGACAGAACTGCCTTTTTATTTTCAGTTTTACTCTGTTTTGTGTTGAGGTATAACTTACAGTAAAGTATGAGGGGGATCCAAAAAACCCCCAGAATTTATCGATAAAAAAATTGTGTCTTTATTCTTACATGTTTAAACTTGCGTCACCTTCCAAGTACTCTCTGTTTGATGCGATGCCCATATCAAGACACTTTATCCACTGCTCAAAATAGTTTTTGAATTTGTCAATTTTGATGCCTTTTAGTGCTTTTGCCATTTTTTGGTTTCACCTCTTCCACATCAACAAAACGTTTCCCTTTGAAGACTTGGTTCCTTCAGGGAAACAAACAAAAAGTCTCTCGGGGTGAGACTGGATGAATAGGAGGGTGGGTCAGGGGAGTCATGCCGTTTCTTGGGTCAAAAAACTGATGAACACTCAGTGTGGTGTGGGCAGGTGCGCTTGTGAATCACCTTCCATGAAATGGGCAAACACGCTGACAGACTCTCCAAGCAAAAATTCACTGAAGTTGAACACAGCTTCTCACAACAACGCTAGCTGGTATGCTGATGCTGATGAGTTCCTAAACGCTTATCTAGTGGGGAAAGGCATACTACAAGGATAATTTCAAAAGATATTTTCAATTATTTTGGAGTCCCCTTATATATAAATATTAAGTGTACAATTTGCTCGTTCTGACTAATATATACAGACATATAATCTATATCACTGTCAGGCCACAGAACTTTCAAACCTTCAAGAACGTTCCCTTATGTCCTTTTGCAGTCACCCCCTGCCAACATAATAGAGGCAACTGCTATTCTGACTTTAATCACTATCAGGCAGTTTTGCATGTCCTGGAACTTGATATAAATAGGTAGAATTACACAGTCTGCATCCTTTTGTATCTGACTTCTTTCACTCGGGGTAATGCTTTTGAGATTCATCCATGTTGTTGTGTGCACCAGTATTTCTTCCTCCCAGCATTTGTATCCACTCACCTATGCTGATAGACATTTGAATTGTTTCCAGTCTTTTATTATTACAGATACTGTTGTAGACATTTGTGTGTAAGTCTTGGTGTGGACAGATGGCTTTATTTCTCTCTGGTAAAGACCCGAATGGCTGGGTCATATGTTGAGTGCATATTTACCTTCTTAAGAAATTGCCAGTTTTCTAAAGTGATTGTACTTATCTTATACTCCCCTAGCAATATATGAAAATTCCGGTAGTGCCACAGCCTTTTCACACTTGGAATTGGCAGTCTTTTACATTTTAGTCATTCCAGTGGGTATGTGGCAGTATGTCATTGTGACTTTTATTTATTTTTCCTGATGACTAGTGATATTGAAGATCTTTTATGTGTTTATTGGCCATGTAGATATTCTTTTAGATAACTGTCTTTTAGTGCCCTAGACACTTGGAATGGTATGGCCAAAAAACTCAACATTTTCACCATCATACTAGCTCACAGAAAGGTGGTCTCTTTTGGTCTCCAAATCTCATGCAAGTGCTTTTAATTTGCAGGCCTGACTACACATCTAAAACTGCATCTCAGAGGGCATCTGGGAAACATCATTCTAGCCTTTTTATCTCTACCCCTTGGGAAGATAGAATGAGGGGCGGAAGAACACTGAGAGCCAATCCCTAGTCTCCCCCGGTGGGTTAACACTGCCCTTGTCTGCCTAAGGAGGCTGTCAGGTATTCTCCTGAACTCATGTGGTAGCACGTGAGATGGCTTTATTAAATTATACTGAATCGCACCCCCAGAGAGTAAACCACCTCTGAATATCTCTCTTAATCCATCAAGTGCCATGAGGGAGAAAGTCTCCGTGTAGTAAAGAATTAACTTTACCCAAAGGAAGGTCTGACTTTTGTCCTTGGCTGTTGGTAGGTCATCTCTAGGCCCTTGGAATGTTCTGCCTGCCCAATGCCTTTGTTTACATAGGGGCCTTGGCCACACCAGACAGTTTCTAGCAATGTGACTCATGGTGGGAACTGTGGGCCACACAGCGTCAGCCTCACCTCGGGAGGAGCTAAAAATTAACTTCACTCTCGTCTACATGGCTGAGCCCAATAAAAACTCTGGACACCAAGACTTGAATGAGTTTCCCTGACTGGCAACACTCCATGTGTGTTGTCACACATCGCTACCAGGAGAAGTCGGCACTGTCCATCCCAGTCGTGACTCCACTGGGAGAGCACAACTGGAAGCTTCACGCTTGGGACGTTCCTGAATTCTTCCCCATATGTTTCTTTCCTTGGCAGGCTTTAATCTGTTTTCTTTCACTATAATTAGCCTAAACTATGAGTATGACAGCGTTCAGTGACTTCAGTGAGTCCTTCTAGTGAAATGTCAAACCCTTGGAGAGCCTCAAACCTGCAGTTGGTGTCAGAAGTGAGAGTGGTCTTGGGCCTCCCAAACCCTGCGGTCTCTTTGGGCAATTGGGTAATGACCATACTCCCCTGTGGACCCTGCAGTGTCTTTGGACAGTTGGATAATGATGACATCCCTGATATTTGATGGTCTCCCTGCAACAGAGCAGTCTCTGGCCTCTGGCTCAGAGCTCCTGACCAGCAACTCCAGATCCAGCTAGAATGCAATATAATTTTTTCTTCACTTATTTTCATTGGGCTTATCTTTATAGCTATAGTCTATGTATATCAAGCAGTACTGATTTTCTACATATGATTGTGTCTTTTAAAATAAATGTATTCATGTTCAAAGAGAATTGACTTTTTGTAAGAGAAGATAAGAGTGCAGTGGGGTGAGAATGTGTCAGAAATTGGGAATAGTGATAATTGAGGTTTGAGATATACTGTCCTAGAAACATCTTTCACAGACTGGTGTGGACACCCAGCCAGGAGCAAGCGTGGCTATGCATTTCTTGTTCTAAAAAGCAACTGTCTTCCTTACCACAAACTAGGCCTCACTCCTCAGTGCTTCTCAATGTTTTTGAAAAGCAACCTTCAGTATGTAATGCATTTTGTATTATCACCATTATATATATTCTTAGGTTGAGCCACGTAAAATTGCTATTTCTGTAGGTCAAAAATAACTGAATAATGACATTTTCAAATGATTCAATTTAATATAGTCCATTATATTTATGGATATACACATATATAGAGATGACATTCCTTCCCGATCAGTTAGACATCTGCTCTGATTAGTAGGTGTTGGGTGTCAATAATAAAATGTTTAGTATCCCCTCTAGGTATGCAACACCCTATACATATCACATACAAAAATTTCGCATTTAATATTTGTGATGCACTTTTTAATTACTTCTTTCTCTTATTTTTTCATGCTACTCACAGCCCACTAAACTGATTTTGTAATCAATGAATGTGACCTGATGTTTGTGAAACTTGTTATGCAACCCTCTGTGATCAGGATCTTGTCTCTTTACTTTGGCATGATCCTTAAACCCAGGTGGAGCTCCTGACCTGAGCCCTGCACTTCAGAGAGCCTGCTCTAGCATAAGGTTGAGCCCCTTCTCACCGGCTGTGGAGCCCAAGGGCCTTCAGGAAGTGCCCACCAGAGCCCGTGCCCTTCTTGACCAAGCTCTGGGTCCATAGGACCCCAGAATGCCTCACCCAAATTGCTCGGAGCCCACACCAGGGCCTGCAGAGCCTTCCTGGTGGACACAGCCCTACATCAAGTGGTGGCCTAGAGGTGGCCATTTGTGTGTTGAGCAGTGTGCGTGGAGCTTGGATGTACAGACCTGGGCTTCCACACTCATGTGTGAGGCCCCTGCCAGTGCAGGAAGGGACTTGAAGTGTGAAGGAGAAGGGACCCCCTTTGGTTGGGACCTCCACCTGTGCTTGCCCAAACCCCTACGATATTGGGAGTAAGCTGGCATGGGATACCTTCTCCCCTTTGGGACCAGACAGAGGGTCTCAAACTGCCTGCAGGCAGAATCTAGCCCTGACTTTTAATGGCTGGACACCCGCCACCAGCCCCTCGCTCCCTTGCTTTTTTTCCCTTACTCTTTTGTCATGAATGATCAGAGACCACGGGGCAGGATCACAGTGCTTTATTTTTTGTCTGAACAGAGTGGGATAACTTGAGGGGCAACGGACAGGGTGCCCAGCGGGCTGCAAGGGCAGGCAGGGTGGGGAAGTAGAGGACTCGGGCTTCAGCCCCAGCTCTGGCTCCGTCTGCCTGTGTCTTTCCTCTCAGGCTGGGCTTCTTATACTGACGATTCTGTAGGTTCTTTGAGGGGAGGCAGGAAGCTGGGCACGGTGGGTGGGCGGGAGGCTCAGTTTCAGGGTGCCCATCGGCTTGTCGGCCCCTACTTCTGATGGACTCACCTGCAACGATTCCGACATAACTGGGACAGCTGTCTACACTTGCCACCTGCAGGTGAAGGAAATGGTTCAGGTGTGAGTTGGGTGCCGGGGATCCAGACAGATCCATCCGGCCCTTCAGCAAGCTAAAACGCCACTCCATAAACAAGCGGCGGAGAAACACACAGAGGACAGCCAGGGCAAAGAGCCCCTGATGGGGAGATTCCCATCTATGCACACAGATGAGGCTTTTGAAAACTCTTGTTATTTTGTGTGACACATCCATTCAGCATATATTTATCGCACATCTGCTACATGCCAGGCACTGGGAACACAGTTGCGGACAAAGACACAAATCCCTGCACTTGCAGAGCTGACCTTCTAGTGAAGGAAACCAAGGAGGAAAACAGCAAAGTCAAATGTACAAAGGTGATAAGTCAGGTGGTGACAAATGCTATGAAGGAAAGCAAAGCCAGGAGGGAGGCCCAGAGGCCCAGGAGTCAGTGCATCTTTACAGGGATGACGGGGCAGGGAGGGAGGAGCTCACTGAGGTGGCATTTCAGCAAAGACCTATGGAGGTGAGGAGGAGCCATGTGGACATCTGGGGGGAGGGTATTACAGGGAGAGGGAAGAGCCAGTGCAAAGGTCCTGAGGCAGAAGAGCACAGATGGCCTTGAGAGATAGCAGGGAGGCCACGCCTAAACCAGAGCAAGTAAGGTGGGCTCTTAGAAGCTAAGGGGACTTCAGAAGAGAGCAATCTACTGGTGTCCTGGCTGCCACCCACCCTGGCCTCTTTCGCCTCCTCCTCTCTGGCCTTATCTCCTGTTACTCTTCCCTGGCTCACTCTTCCCTGCCATCTTGCCTCCTCCTGTCGCGATCGCAATGCCCAGCTCCCTCCTGACTCTGGGCCTTGGCATGCCTGCTCCCTCTGCCTATGGTTCTGTCACTTCTCATCAGGGGGAGTCAGTTCCCGGCTCACCACTTCGGAGGGAGCATCTGTCCCCACCCCCTCAATCTTGTCACGCTGCTTTGCTCAGCAGATCCTTCCCTCTGTATCCACGTCGCTCATTCACACTTGGACTTGTTTATCATCGCCTCCCCACCACAGGTGAGCTCTCCCGGGGCAGAGAGCAGAGCTGCTTGTCACCTCCATGTCCCCAGCATCACGCATCACAGGTTGGGCACAGAGTAGCTACCCACAAGTGGCCCCAGAGCTAATGTCCAGGATTGGACCTCACAACCACCCGGGTCCCATTCGTCCCTGACTCTTCTGTGCTATGTGACCCTGGGCAAACTCCTCAACTCTCTGAGCCTTAATTTCCCCACTAGGGAGAGAACAGGGCTTCGTGCAAAGTCAAGATCAACAAACACATGTTGAACGACTGAGGCAACAGTGCTTGACCCCTCAGATTCAGTGAGGATCAGGCCGGCATTAGCAATCTTGTTACATGATTACTAGTATTTTGCCTCCTCTTCAAGGCAAAAAAGATGTGGCTAGGTTCATTTTCCTGATGAGGACATTGGACATGAGAGGTAATGAAACTTGGCAGATGCTATCCTGATTAACGGACAGTCATGTCCTGTTTCACCCCCAGCATTTTAAAAACCTTTTAGAAAAATTGGTTTCTTCATGAACAAGAGTACCTGCATAATGACCATTTGTATACCTGACCCTGAATTGTGCTCCACATCTTTAAAATTAAAAAATTGAAAGAAAAAAATAAGAATAATTGGTTTCTCTTCTGGTTACTTTCCCTGTGACCTCCCTTCCCTGCACCCTGCATTGGGGTCTGGGAGGCTGACCCGACAGGCCACATTCCCTGGGCCCCTCACCCTCTACCTCAGCATTGGCAGGAGATAGGAGGACAGGAGGAGTGGGAGGTATTTGATCCCCTCCACCCTGCTCCCTCCTGGAGGGGTCACAGTGATGCAGTGGCTGGAACTCTCTTCCTGGGCTCACAGCTTCTGCCAGCAGCCCCTGCTCCAGGTCCATCTCTCACCAGGCTCTGGCCCAGCCATGACCTGCCCTTGCCCCTCAGGCTGGGGTGATAACAGCTCCCCATCGTTGCTAGTCCTAGGATGCTCCACCATCCCGGTACCCTGCCCTGCCTCTGGAAAAGTCCTGCTAGCAAGCCTTCTCCAATTGACCTTTTGTGGGCCCATCTGTCACCAGTTGTATCCTTGACCAATACAGCTGCCAACAGCTAAGCCCTGGAAGATTATATAGAAATATTCTGCTTCTATAAGAGCAGCTCCTCTGGCAGCTCCAGGCTCTTACTCTTGCTTGAATGAGTGGGTGGGGTTGCTCTAGCCCGTACACGACTTGTTCCTTGCCTGGCTGTGTAGAGCTTGTGACCCTGGGTTGGTATATTGACTGCCAAAATGGCTCCCAGTTCTCTATCCATCACTGTCAGCACCCATGTCTCTTGCAGTATCCATGTCTCTATTTCCACCAAAAGGTGGAGTCTATTTTCTGACTGCTTGAATGGAGCCTGGCCTTGTGACTTGCTCTGACTTATAAATGTGGTAGGAGTAACAGTGGCCCGTTCTCAGCCTGACCACTTTCATTCTCACACACACCCTCTCTCGGACCTCTGTCACTACTGTGTGAACAAGCCCTAGCTAGGTTAGTGGTGGATAAGACCACAAGGCCAAGTACCTCGGCACCCATAGAAACAGAGATCCCCATGACGGATCTCAGACGTATGAATTCGGCTGAGACCAGAAGAACCCTCCAGCTGATCCCAGCCTATGTTTCCGAACGACAGGATTGAGAGCTAAATAAATGGTAACCATTTTAAGCCATTCAATTTCCCTCAGAGCGCCACAAAACTTCTCCTTGAGAGCTTGCGCCTCCGTCACAGCATACGTTGCCCCCTCCCCATCTTGGTGCCTCTCCCACCCAACCCCTGCTCTCACTCGTGAGGATGAGGATCCCGGTGATAAACAGCACAGCTGCCACCAACAGCCCCCGTTTCCGGAGAGTGTGTTCATCTGTAGAGAGAAGTGGAGGGGCGCCGTCAGATGGGCCTTTACCCTTCTTGCACCCACATCTTCCCATGGGTGACTCACCGTAGAAGAAGGGGTTGTCCTCACGGGAACCTGAAGGGGGCAGATAAGGAGCAAGAAAGGGTTCAGCAAAGGTCTGTGAAGTGAACAAGTGGATGGCAGAGTCAGGGAAGGGGACACCTAGGTCAGCCTTCGTACCCAGGGAACAAACTCAAAATCCTCACAGTGGCACCCAGTCTGGTTGCCACTATCTCTCTAGCCTCATCTCCTCACAACCCTCCCCCCATGGCACTCCATCCAGCACACTCGCCTCCCTGCTGCTGAACCTGCCAGATGCTTCAGGGTTTTTGCCCTGGCTGTTTCCTCTGCACTTCTCGCCTCAGGGTTTTTGCCCTGGCTGTTTCCTCTGCCTGGAACACCTTTCCCTAGACACCCACATGGCTCACTCCCTCACTTCCTTCTCAGTGAGGCCTCCCTTGGTCCTATATATGAAATACAGGTTGAGTATTCTTAATCTGAAAATCCAAAATGCAAGATATTTCAGAATCTGAAACGTTTTAAGCTTGAAAATAATACTCCAAGGAAATGCTCTTTGGAGAATTTTTGGATTTCAGATTTTCAGCTCAGGAATGTTGAACTGGTAAGTATAATGCAAAAATTTCAAAATTAAAAAAAATCCCAAATTGAATCCCGTCTGGTCCTAAGCATTTCAGATAATGGATAGGCAGCCTGTCTCCCCAGTCATTCTCTATCTTGCTTTATTTGTCTTGAGTATAAGTTAAAACCAACAGATATGTAAATATTATGGTTATGATTTGTTGTCTTTCTCCCTCCACTAGAATGTCAGTTCTGTGAGGGCAGAGATAATGTCTGTCTTGCTCACTGGCTATATCCTTGGCCCTTAAAACTGTGCCTGGCACACAAGAGTTGCTCAGTGAATGTGTTAAATGAATGGATGGATGAGTTTTCTACTTAAAATTTTCATTCATTCATTGGGGGTTGACTGGGCAGAAAGTGGAGGATAAGACCACAGGGGAAAGAATCCAGGTGGCCCTAGAAACAAAGCTCCCAGCTGACCCACAACTGACTTGAGATGCCGAGTATGTCCAGCTGAAGGCAGAAGAATCACCCAGCTGAGCACAGTCACATTCCAAAATCACATAACTGAGAGCTAAATAAGTGATTATCCTTTTTAAGTCATTGAGTTTTGGATGGTTTGCATGTAGTACTCATTTATGCATTCATTCATTTCTGTAGACAGCTGTTGTGTGCCTACCCTCTGCCAGGTTTGAAGTCTTTTATTCACCCAACACGTTTGTGCTGTGTTGTATTATAGGTGTTGGAAATATACAGTGAATAGAAAATAGCCTGCTTCCAGTCTGAGAAGAAGTTACTGACCAGATGGCCTGAGAGGCTGAGGCTTTGTCCGTGCGTCTGTGCCTTGGGGTCGTCTTTCTGAGAGCATGGTGTTGCCTTCCATGGGATGGGCAGAGAGAGTGACTGGAAGATGGTAGAGGATGAGAGTGAGCCATAGAGCAAAGCCCGCCCCCACACCTACAGAGCTGGCACATAGGGTCAGGCATCCCTACTCCATCCCTGGAGACAACAAGTAACAGCAGGTTCTGAAATACTGAAGTAAGCCTGCAGCCCCTGGTTACCACCAGCTGTCCCAACCCCTCTCAAGACTAGGATATCCCGGATGACCCCATTATTCAGGAGATAAGGAAACTTAAGGGTAACACCCAGCATAGCTAGGCAGGGGGACTTCTGGGACCCTGCTCCAGCTACACAGTCTGGAGATGCTTACAAAAAATTTTGAATATCACCTCTGCCTTCAGACCAAAAATATCAGAGGGTTCTTCCCTTGAAAAACATGTTCCCCAAAGAAAAGGGCTGTCCCTCCAGCACTGAGAAGCGCTCCCATACCCCAGCTAATGCCTCAAGGAGAAGATGGCAGGCAGAGAAACTGCCTCATGAACTCCAAATACCCTGGGTCTATCTCAGAGGCTCATCCCTAAACATGAACCGACAACCAAGAATTACAAGATGTTTGAGGAATGTGTTGCCCAGAGGAGGGTATAAGTAAGATCGACAGGGACATAGAAGATGACAGAGGCCATAAAAATTGCAAAGGACAGCGGTGATGGTGTGTGGTGTTCATGCACCCTGGAGCTATATAGTCTGGACTCAATTTCCAGCCCTGCTACTTTGGGCTGTGTGGCCTAAGGCAAGCTGAGTAAACTGTGTGGGCCTCAGTTCCATCCCTGTAAAATGAGAATAATGATAGTGTTCCCACTACACAGGGTGATTGTGAGCACTGAATGAGTTAATACATGAACACTTAGCCCAGTACCCAGCACAGACTAAGCTCTCAGCAATTGCCAGCTGTTGTGGTTACTGTCTACTTGACTTTGCTCCCTCCTTCTGAGAATAGCTTCTCACTCATCTGAGGGGACTGCTCTCCTTCCCCAGTCTACCTGGTTTCCCAGCTGTAACCCAGGCTACAAGAGGGAGCATGTGACCCCAGTCTGGTCCTTCGTTGGGCTTTTTCAAATCCCACGTAGGGATTTTTGAATGAAAGTTAGGTATTACGGGCTGAATTGTATCCTCACAAAATCCTCAAGCTGAAGCCTTAACCCCCATTTTGATGGTATTTGGAGACGGGGCCTTTGAGAGGTAATTAGGGTTAGACAAGGTCATAAGGGTGGGAACTTCATGATGGGATTAGTGCCCTTAAGAGAAGAAACACCAGAGAGCTTGCTTCCAATCCCTCTCAACCTGCACATTCCAGGGAAAAGTCACCTGAAGACATAGTGAGAGGCTGGCCATCTGCAACCCAAGGAGAGAGCTCTCAACAGACACCAACCCTAGTGCACGTTGACCTTGGACTTGCAGTGTCCAGAACTGGGAGAAATAAATTCCTACTGTTTAAGCCACCAGTCTGTGGTATTTTGGTATGGCAGCCTGAGCACACTAAGATACAAGGTGAAGCTAAGACATTTGAGCTGGGAGATGACAGGAGCCATTTTCTCACTAGATGGAAGAGAAGCCCCAGCACAAGATAAGCAAAGACGGAGCAGGGAGAAAAGTTCAGGGGAACTTTCATGCCCAGACTGGGCAACCTTGAGGTTCAGTAGTACCCTTTACCACCTCGCTCTAGGACCCCCTTGGCCCTGCTGAATTTCTGTCACATATACCCAGGAACATGGACTAATGCATACAGTAACTCGGCAAAGACCCAGAGTAAGTGAACTGGAAGGTGTGAAGATGCCTTATCAGCTGGGAAGTGTGTACACAGCCACTATCCCTCAACCCCCACAAGGCACTTTTGTACAAAATAGAAAAGTTCCCTTCCTCAAGACACAAACTGTGCCCCAAAGACTTAAAAAAACCAATGGCTAAATTCTTGGGTTTACAGAATAGCAGATAAGAAAAGAAACAACTTGCTGAAAAGCTGAAACTGCCTCAATGAGCAAGAAACCAATGACTAACAGATATTTTTGAGTTTGCAGGATAGCAGATAAGAAAAGAAACAACTTGCTGAAATGCTGAAACTTCCTCCGCTTGTGAAATCCAGAAAAAACTGGGTGAAATCAGTTGGAACCAATAGGGCCTGCTGGAGTCTGCGCAGAACCAGATTGCTGATGTCACAGCCTGAATGTCCATGTTTCATACTAACTCCCCCCGAATCTGCACATGTGACCCATGGGGAGGCATGAAAAGACAACTGGACATGCCTGAGGACTTCCCAAACCTCCCCCTTCCTTCCACCAATCACCTATTAATCTCAGAATTCACCCTCTGAACCTTTTCTCATAAAAATACTGCCTTGAAGCTACCACAAGGAGACAGAGTTGAACTGGACTCCTGTCTCCTTGTAAGTCGACTTGCACCATAAAGCTGTTCTTTTCTCCGAAACCCAGTGGCATCGTGTTGGGTTCTAGCACATGAGGCAATGGTCCCTCTTTGCTTGATAACTACACTTTATTTCCATCTGCTGTAGGATTGTTTTAATAGATTCTGTAAGAATTAAAATGTTTTCTTGTCATCTCTGGAAGCCTGGAACAGTTATAAAGATCGATGAAGGGAGCGGCCTGGCCTGAGAGGTGAATCTCTTGTGCAGTGCCCAGTCTGCACAACTGTGCAGCCTCTCAGCCCGGAAGTGGTCCAAGCTACAGTACTTTCCAGTGGGGGCTGCTCCTTCAAATAGGGATTATCACACAGACATCAGAGGCAATCTGTTGCCTAAATTTATCTCAGCTCAGCCTACCTTCCCTTTTGGTAACATTAACTCACTTGTCCAGAAGAAAACCACCTCTTCCCTGACTCTTGGTCTGAGTGGTTCTGGCAGGGCTGACTCCCTTCTCCAGTCCCAGGGTTGGGCTCAAGACTCGCGCCTGACTAAGCTGAGCAGTTCATTTCCCAGGTTCCTATTGGTTTAGACGTGGTCATGTGATCTCAGCTGGACCAATGAGAGTCAATTATAGGCTTTAGTTTGGAAATACTGGGAAAGAGCTATTTTCTAACCACCTGAAGTTAGAACTATGGGCATCCTTGCCATCAAAAGGGAAGAAACTGAAAATGAAAAGTCAGGAAAGGGAGCAATTTAGTCATGATGACAGTGCTTAAGCTCCTTGATCCAGCTATACCTGAAAATGACTACCACCAGACTTTACCAAACTAATATTATAGCCTATAATTCTTTTATTCTTAAACAAGAAAAGCTCTAACATTAAGACATGCACAAGGAAATATCTACAGTCACATTTTCTGGCACAAGCCTTGTGAAGGGAACAAAAGAGGGTACCTAAGTCTATCAGTTTGGAAAACACTGCCTACTGGATGCTGCCTATTGGGGAGAAAATTGGTGTAATCAAGGCTCTGAGAGGTCCTGCCATAAAGAAACATAGTTAACTTTAACTTAGAATTCCCCAAATACCTTTGACCACACATCAAAAAAAAAATTTTTTTTAACTGTATTAGCAATTCCCCAAACAGGTGCTCTGAGAAAGGCACTTGGGGTGATGTTGACCTAGATAGAGGATTAAACAAAAACTGCAGATTGCTGTTCTCAGTCCTAGGCTCTACCTTTCTTGCCGCTCTCGTGGATCCCAGGATCTGTCTTCAGAAGTCCATCTGTTTCCGTCGCTTGCTGAGTTGGGGTTTCGGTCTGGTTTTGTGTTGCTTCTACTCAGGTCAGAAGAGCAAGGAGGGGAGGATGAGGAGGGAGTGAATCAGGGACACGCAGGTCCACAGGACAGTGAGGGACCATCGCCCTCCAACAGGCTGGTGAACACTGAAGGCATCAATACACTCAGTATCGCTGCCAGAGTGGGAAAGGGGTCTCTTTCCCGCATACTGCTGGTGGGAGGGCCAATTGGTGCAGTCACTTGGGAGGGCAACTTTTTTCTTTACTTTTCTTTTTTTTTTTTTAGAAAGCAAGATTTATTGAGAAGACAGAGAAGCTCCTGCAGTTCTAGGAGACCCGAAGGGGTTGCCTAGAAGGGCAACTTTTAAAACAAATGTAAGTGTTCATGTGCTTTGCACCATCATGTTTTGGATAAAAGCATAGGCTCTGGGAACAGATTCCTGGACTTTAATCCCAGCTGCGTCCCTGACTGGCTTTGAGACCCTGGGCAAGTTAGTCTGTTTCCTTATCTGTAAAATGGTAGTTTCTAACACATTGAGTTTGTGTGAAGATTGAATGAATTAATACAAGTGACATGTTTAGAACCATGACCAGCCCATACGTACATATTGTAAGTGTTTGCTCAAGGAGGAAGAGACAGCTGTGTATAGACAGAAAAAAGCTGGAAACAACCAATGTGCTCATCAAGGGGTGTGTGACTGCATTAACTGTAGCACAGGCACCCTGTGGGATACCAGGCAGCAGAGAACAAGACAAGTCTTTATATACAGAAATGTGAGAAGAACTTCCAAAAATACGGTTGCATGAAGAAAAGCAAAGTAAGTTGCAGAACAATCTTATGGTATCCTTCCGCTCGCACAAATATACCAGGCAGTCAGTATATTCTCCCCAAGTCATATACATGAGAGAGAGTATCACTGAAGAGCTACTTCCAGTGCTAACTGCGAGACAGAAGGAGAGAACAAGGGTGGAGGACAGTATGACAAAGGGATTTAGTCTCACCTACAGTACTTTCATTATTTCCAAGGAGAGAGTATTTACGTACTATTGTGTCATTAAATATTACTCGAAATAAATTATGGATTACTTTTAAAATTATGTTAGGCCCTCAAAATAGTTCAAAAATTATTTGAACATTCAGAAAAAGATAAAGAGATAAAATTATTTGAACATTAAGAAAAAAAGATAAAGGGGTCGAAAGAAGATATCAATGAGGTTGGCACACAGGGAGTTTCTGGGGATGTCTGCAAAACTTCACTCCTTGACCTGCATGACAGTTACACAGGGATCCATAAATCATTCAGTTGCACATTTATGAGCTTCATATTTTTCTATAGGCATGTTATATTTTATAAGTTTTTGGTTTTCTTTTTAAAAAAATAAAATGGAATGGAGTTGGCTGGCTGCCCCACCCAAATTAAGCCAGAGGATTCAGAGCTGGGGGTGGGGACGGAAATAGGTATCATATGATTGTTCTTGGAGTGTCAGAAGAAAAGGGAGCTCTGCCCACCCCGGGCTGCCCCACCCCCCTCCCCTGCCCACTCACCATTAGCAGGCCTGGTTGGGATCTGAGGGGTGGGCTGGGGTTCTGGGTAGACTGCGTCTATCATCCGAAAACAAGAGGTCAGGGAGAGAAGAGAGAGAAAGTGGAGATGGTCCGTAGGTGGAAATACTGAGAATTCCATGGCAACTCAATCTTGGTGTCATGGAAATGACTTAATCCAGTCATTTGCTCACTACCCAAACCTGCTGCTGGTTTCTTGTTGGCCTCGGGATCCCAGCCCCTTCAGCCACACTAAGGCTTCTTCTTGGGGCTGCTGGCTGCCAATGAGCATTCTCAAGAATCTGAGAAGTCCCATCTTAAGAAATGTTTAACTCAGTTTCCCAAATACCTTTGACCACAAACCAGCACCCACCTGTTTTGATCAGAGCCTCCAGAACTTGTTTTGGGGAACCATCCTTTTCTGACTCTTGGTTTACTTTTTTCGGTAGAGCTGCCACCAGCCCTGTAGGAGGCTGGCCACAGGACCCAGGCCTGACCAATCAGCTTTCTATGCCTGTGGCCACAATGATCAGCTCAGCAGTGGGCATGTGACCTGAACCTGACCAAAGACGCTCAGTCCTGAGACATTTGCTGGATTAGGGAAGGGGAAGTTCTCTTGCTCTGACTCTTAGGAGGAAAGATGAGAGCCTCAGGCTTCTAGGGCTATCTTGGCCCAAAGAGAGGAGAATCTGCATGAAAATGAAGTCAATACAGGGAAAACAGAACCAAGAGATGGAGAAAGGTTCCTGATAGCATCGTCTGAGCACCTCGATCAAGCCATGCCTGAAGATCTGGTCCTTGGACTTTTTCCTTGCTTGGTCCAAGTTTGGGATTTTTGTAGCTGTTGCTATTTGCTGTGAGAGGATCTTGAAAGAGATTTCCTCACCTGGGGCTGGTGTCATGAGCTGAATGTTCTTAGAATCTGGTTCCTCTGGAGAAATGGATGTGGCCTTCCCCCATGTCTGTCCTGGGGAAACAAGGATGAGAAATTGGGAGGAAACCTCTGATCCCCATTCTCTCATCAACACTCCCACCCTGCTTGCCCTGCTGAAGCCTTGGGGGCAACTGTGGAGGTTCTGTCTGTCATGGAGCTATTGAGGATTCGCATGTCTGTACCAACTCATGATTCTGGGCGTGTTTTCAGCTATGCTGATGCCTAGAACCCTCCCTGCCCATCCTTGTGGGATGGGAGAGGTAGTGTATTCCAGTGAGCCCAGGTGCTAGGATCATCCAGGGCCCTGGTTTCCCAACAAATTTCTTGCCGTGTGACCTGGAGCAAATGAAGTCCCCTTTCTGGGCCTCAGTTGCCGCACCTACAAAGTGGGGATAATTGTTGCTCATTCTCTCATCTCCTTCAAGTGTTTGTTTACCCAAAGTGACCCTCCTCTATTTTTCTCCATAGCACGTGTCCCCTTCTGGTATACTATGTAATTTACCGATGGGTTGTCTTTCCCCACTAGAGTGTGACCTCTTGTTTTATTCACTGCTGTTTCCCTAGTGCAAAGAACAAGATCTAGCACATGGTAGGTGCTCAACAATGTTTATCGAATGACTGAAAGAATACATGAAAACCACTTCGTGACAGAGAAATGGGCGTGCACTCTGGGTTTCTGGGGGCAGGTAGGACAGTTGTCATCTCTCCCAGTTCCTTCACTCACTAGCCTCTGACATAGGGCACTTCCTCGGACTGAGGCTCACCCACAAAATGAGCATGATGGCATGTAGTGCTGAAGCCTAAACAAGCTCCCACACAGCACGTGCCGCGTAGAAAGCACCGCAAATGCCCTGTGGTTCCCGCCTTTGGGAAACATTTCTCAGGCCAGGTTGAGATGTCTCCAACTCTTCGGACCAGCACCAGTTCGACCCCTTTGCCTAACTATGTTGCCCGGGGACCCAGTGATGCATTTGCTGAGAGCCCAGGCTTCCTGGCTGCAGAGTAGAAAACTGACACCGGTCTCCCCGCCAAATAAAACCCAGCAAGTTCTGCTTGGAGGTGAAAGGGAGGATGCCCAGCAGGACAGGCTCTGGCCAGACTCACTGGAAGCAGCCACCCAGGTCTGAGGCATCCAAAGAGAATGTAGCCCTGCCCCCATAGAGATCCCACTTTCTGATGCTGGTTCATGGAGGGGATGGTGTGAAGATAGGACAGAGCATCTGCCCAGCAGCACACTTGGGGCTGGCAGGGCTGAGGGCTCTGGGCAGGGTGTCACCAAGTTGGACAAGAGGGCTGGGTCTTACCTCTGATGGGAAGAATCAGCCCAACGATGGTGAGGAGACACAGGCGACCAGAGGGCGACATCTAGGGGGTGACAGGTGCTGGGGTCAGCCATGATGCCGGGGAGGCAGGCCTGGGGTAGCCCCAGGGGTCCTGCAGCCCTATTCCCTGCCCAGCAGGCACTTCTGGCTTCAAGGACCCCCTATCTGGGTTGACAGCTGACTTGGGGAAAGGGAAGGGGTCTCAGAGCTGGGAGGCCCAAGCTGCCACTCCCCTTTCCTCCCCCTGCACGTCCCCCCCCCAAACAAGAAGCAGCCCACCAAACTGGTCCCCGGCAGCAGCAGTGGCACCGGGCACTGGTGAAGCTGAAAGCACTCCCTGCTTCTCCGCCAGGGACGTACTCCTCGCTCGAACCCCAGGGAAAGGCACCAGGAGGGGACCAGGCAGACCAGGAGCCTCTGCCCTCCTCCAGGGGCCCAGAGCCCGGGAGTCGCCGGAGGGGAAAGAGGAAGGGTGAGTAATTCGCTCCTGAGCGCAGAGGAAAAAGTGAGTTGGTGTGAGGGGCGCTGCCGGTGGATCGGAGGAGGTCCGGCCGGAGAAGGATGCAGGAGAGCTGGGGAGACTGAGGCAGAAGGCGGCGAAGCGGTGCGGCCCGCGGCAGCACAGAAGCGGAGAGCGGTGGGCATGAGTGGGGGGCGGAGAGGCGCCGAAAAGGCCAGGCTGCCGCCCACCTGAGCCCGCCCGGGCAGGGGCAGGCGGACGGAGGTGGCCCGCGCGAGGGACTTACGTCCG